TGCACAGCGGGCAAAGTTCAGTGTTCTAACGCAGTTTGATGTTTTTGACGAGAAAAACTAACCCGAGCAAAGTGGAACTTGACATCTCAGGCAGGGTTGAAAGAATTGGGCTTTTGCCAGTCACTAGTTAACTGCGTTAGGCTTATCAATATTTCCGTCTATTCAATAACGAAAGTGTGGCTTTGATTTAAATTATTACAGCGAATCAGTTGGCAGCCCTCTCACTTTTGAGCCAAAAGGTTTGAGTTCAAGTCGCACATTGGAACTATGAGACTTGTAGACTAGACTGACACTCCCAATACAGTGTGGTGGAGCCCTGCATGGTCGGAGGTAGTGGCTGTACTTTGGATTTGACATTAAACGGAGGTCCTATCTGTCTGTCTGGGGTGGCATTAAAGATTCCATGTCATCATTTGAAAAAGTGGAGGGAGTTTCTCCTTAGGGACCAGGCCAACAATTCTCTCCTCAAAATGGGTTAATTCACTTTATGGCTATTGGTGGGACATGGCTGTGCACAAATGTGCTGCTGGGTTTGCCTAGAAATACATAATATTTGCTTACAAATTGAGAAAATTCTGTGAAACACTAAGGTGTTTCATCCTGATAAGAAGCTGTATCAAACACAGGAATAATAAGGAATTGTTATCGGCAGTACCTGGATCAATACAATACAAGTCTATGTTTATATAGCGCCTATCATGCTTTTCAATGCAATCGGCAATGGTTCCTCAGATAGCTCAGTAGATAAATGCCCTAAATATTATGATACTGGTTAATACAGAACAGGGATACCTAGACTTTGATAAATTAGCTGGATTGGAGGGCTGTATGCTTTCGTAGATTTGCTATATCACTAGTTTAACAGCCTATCAGATTTAAATCAGGAACCCTTATAAAACACAAATAGCGAAACGGCAACATTTTGTAATTAGTTCCTCTGTCACAAAGTGTGGGCGGAAAGGGAAATGGACTTCGTATTTTAAGAAGAATTTAACAAATAAAGTATACATACAGGATTTGTAAAGGAAAGATAGTGGTCTGGCTTTACTATATATGGTTGGAAAGCAAAATGTGGGGAACAAACAGATACTTGTAATTGCGGCTTGGGCTCTGGTGACGAGTCTTATCATATGATTGTACACATGACTGTAATTTATACCGACTGCAACGAGCTGCAGATTTCCACTTTATAGAGTTGCAATGATTATGTTGTAGTCGTTAACCCCTCAGCGAGAGCACTGTTCCAAACCCTGGCCTCTGTTTGTGTGGTGATATTTCACAACTAGTTCTACCACACCAGCCAGCCCCAAGTCCCACATTCTGTGCAGATACCTTGTGTGGCCTGTTTTACATTGTGTGGGACACATTCCACAGGAACCAACTAACTCCAAAACGGCCACAACTTGCACAGCTTGCTTTGAAGTCACAGTCGGTCCACAAAAGGTAGGTACTGCACCTTTGACAGTGGCTGGAAAGAGGTCAATAAAGTATGGATGATCAGAGTCAAGTAGCCTTCCAGACAGACAGACAGACAGACAGACAGAGAAAAAAGTGGCAATGCTTACACCTCAGGACGGGAAGAAGGGGTATGTGTGGAGAACACGTCTTTATGGTGCATGTGGGCTCTGGAGAGACAGAGGCATTCCCCTACACCCCACATTTTATTGCTGGTTTAGCTGCAACATATTTACGGCAATGACTGACAACAATAAATGAGGCCGCAAACCTAATGGACAAGGCGTCTGATTTTGGAAAGTAGTTGTGAAATAGTTAGATGTTTGCAAGTTCATGGGTTTCTGGACATCAAATAAACTGAAAAACAAGCGAATGAATGGATAATGTAGGGAACATGTTTTTGGCACAAAAGGTTTTAAAGTACGTGGAACAAATTACCAGCACAGATGGTGCAACAAGGAACTAGATTAAAAAGGGTTTCAAAAAGAACTAGACAAGTTTCTGGAACCTGGAAGGATTCAAGGTTATTAGGGGATTATAATAGTAATCCTTGCATTTGATATAGCTCCTTATCATATCTTTGAGACTCTCAAAGCGCTTCTCAGTATATATGTAAAGAGAATTGACTGTATATTTTATGGGCAAAGTGCGGCAGCCAATTGCACCCCGAAGTGTCCCACAAACAGTCGTGGATTGAGTGACCTTTTTTTTTGAAGGGATTATTTTGAAGGTTTGAGGTAGACATGTTGAAGAAATGTTTTTGGAAGTTGGATGACGATGCTAGACTGACCAATTGTTCAATTCGGACCTGAAGTTGTTAGTGTAGTGATGGCTTTAAACATGAAGGGTGGTTCTGATTTGGTGATACTGTAGTAACAAAAAATTTGGCTTGCAATTAGAACTGAGTTTGGATTTGCATTGGCGTTTGACCTATCCCCAGAGGGTGAGGTTAGTTTATCTCAGCTGTGGTATCTTTTATGACTGTAAGAGACCAGTTTTTCGGGAGGGGGATGGAAACTATCCTTTACTTCTACACTCCAATACACGCGTGGAAGATAAAACAGTGATATTGACTTCTCTACCCTCATATGTTTCCTTTACCTGTAGATCATTCATTTGTGACTCTAATCCTGGATGAGGACTTAAATGGTTACATTAGGACTTTCCATGTGGATCAGTAGACTTGCATTATGAAATTATTTTGCTCCTCAATCTTATAATAATAATAATAAACCTTGCATTTGATATAGCGCTTTATCACGTCGTTGAGACGTCTCAAAGCGCTTCACAGAATATACTATATATAAAGTGAATTGTCTGTACAAGTTTGTAAAATGACAATGTTATCTTATGAGATCTGGAGCATGCGGAGTTTTATATCGTACCTTTTTTCTAAAAACGTTTTCCGAACCTGTCTCTCTTATCCTCCTCGTTTCTCTCGAGATTTTTCTTCGCTTTGTGCTACTGCAACTGCTTTCAGTGAGTTAATTGCTTAATATATTGTCAGCAAAAATAAGAATTGGTTTTGTCGGAATAATAAAACATGAGAAATACAAGGCTTTTGGATCCTGACATATCTTGAGAGCAGGTTTGTCAGATCCTTATTCTGGGTGTTGAGGTGTTAAATCAAATGCAGCCAAGTTCTGGTCCCCGTGCTGTAGTTTTGTATTAAAAATCCTGTGGTTTGTCCTTGTATAAAAGCCAAATGGGCTGCCGAGGAGGACCATGATCTATTCCCCAGTGATTGACCTCTTGAGAAAAGTGCTGTGTTTGACATATTCTCAGCGCTCGAGCCAGTGAAAGCATTGAACTAGCTACTTGGTATGGAGGTTGCGGTACAGGCCTGAATTGCGCCTCTTTAACTGAGATGAAGGTTGCCTAGGATTGTTCAACCTACCTCGCAGCTCTCGCTCTCTCTCTCTCTCTCTGTGTGTCACAAATTAATGTTTCTAAAATCAACACTTCCGAGCAGCAGTTGTCCGCAGTTGCACAAATTATTATAAGACCCTCATAAATGTGTCTGGAATTACGATCTGAGATATTCCAGAGGGGATATATATCTGTGTCCTTGACATTGTCTGTTTGCAGAGCGGGGAGAGGAGGTGGGGAGGTGGGTGGGGGGGAACAGGGGAAGATAGAGGAGCTTTGGCAAAGGAGAAATAGATTTTGAGGTGCATGGGTAGCCTGGCAGCAACAGCTGCTGAAGTTTTTTTGTGTGGGGAAGGTCACTGGAAGGATTCTGAACGTCTTTGTGACAAGACTGACCTAACAGGCTTTCATTCCCCCACCACCAGCACCGCTCTGGATGCAGACTGTAGCTGTGAGCTGAATGCAGTGTGAATTGGATGCATTTTAAAGCTCGTTTTTAAAAAATGAACCTGCCATTTGGGTCCTTGTTTTACACTGAATGCTCTGGTGCTGGGATTTTTTTTGACAACTCTCTCTCTCTCTTAAGCAGTGGATGAATATCCAAGTCATGGGAAACAGCATATTTTCTGGTTGCTGCAGATTTTTTACAGGTTTAATCTTTGGAGAAGCTAAGGAAGAGCCGGGTGATGATTGCTCACCCCTTTTGCATGAAGAGTGCGACCTGTTGTCTCCTGCTATGGCTTTCCCGGTTAAAACGGAGCCAGGTCTATCAGAAGATCGACCCCTGCAAGGTTACCCTGACATTATCTTGAGCAGCAGGATAGCTGGTGACTGCGGCCTACAAGTGGACAACAGAACACAATCTTTAAACAGCGTTAGCTCGAAGACAGCAGCAGGAGAAGCCCTTGATTGCGTTGAACAAACCCGGGGCTTATCTAATCAGTCAAACGGCGGTTGGAATAGCGCAGTGTGTCTGGCAGCTCAGAATCCTGCGTCTCCTCCATCTGATGACCTTCTCTCTACCCTTGAAACGATTACAAAACAGGTGAAAGATCGCGGCTGCCAGACTCGGGTTTGGCACGGCTACACACAGCCAGATGACGCTGACTGCTCTTCGGACCACAGACAGCGGCACTCCAGAGAGAAGCCTCTGGAAGTAGCAGTCACACCAGGGCACATAAAAAACCATAGCCTCGATTCATCGGGGAGATTACTTGAGATTTCCCACCAGGAAGGCGGCGCTGTGCAGTTAGTGGGGGAGAGGGGGGGCGGTGAATGTCTGACAGGTGAAGCAGCCCTCTCAAAGGAGAGGCATTTTAACACGGATTCAGTGACCGAGAGGCGGTGTGTCAGCCCAGTGAGTCACTGTGTCATTGGCTGCGACTGCGTTTCACCTTCAGTCAATCAGACTCCCCCTGAATTATTGATACCTGCGATTGCCGGCCTTTACCCTGGACCTGCACAGACAACAACGACGACAACAACAACAGCAACAACAACTTGCATTTATACAGCGTCCCTCGCGCAGGGTAGCGTCCCAGAGCGCTCGACTGGCGATGAGACGGTGGCAAACCGGGTAGAACCAGCTGGGAGAAACAGCTCGACAACGCAGGCAGGAAAACCGGTTGTTCAAAATGCCCCCAGTGCTCCAGAACGCTGCCTGCTCGCCAGGCTCCGAGCTCCTCGGAGGTCGCGAAATCTGTGGCGGATCATGGTGACTTGAAAGGGTGTGAGTCACGTCAAAGCCTGAGGAGGAATAAGAGGAAGAAAAAGAAGCCGCTGCCTTCAACATCGTCAGGTGTTTAAATAGCCAGGGCGTTTGGGGGGAAAGAAAGAAAAATGATCAAAAATGGTCTTTCTTTGTGTTTTTTTTATATTAAAAAAGTGGGGTGGGGAGGGGGGGGGTTGTTAATTATAATGTCATTCTGCAGCTGTGCCTGGATTAAGTTAGCTGGCAGCAGTAACATTGGCTGTGACCAATTATTCAGCGTGAAATGTGACAGCTTTTAATTATCTCTCGTGCAAGCGGGAAGCGCATTTAACCCCTTGAGGGCTGGGTTTCCTTCCACTGCTTTCGCAGTGCACGCACGCACTGAACCTGTCACCGCTAAGTGTTTTGCAGCAAGACTGAGGGAGTGTTTTGCAGGAGCAGAGGAATGCACAAATAATAATAATAATCCTTGCATTTGAAACGCAGCAGTCAATTGCGCACACGTGTGTCCCACAAACAGTCGTGGATTGAGTGACCAAATTATTATTAGTAGTAATTATTTTAATAAAACTGCTTTACAGACGTGGGAGCACTCGTTTAATTTGGGCGTCGAAAAATTCTGCGCCGGCAATGAATGAGTTAATGCCGGGATTCATTTCAGAGAATGGGTTAATATTCATCTTAAAGGAAGCGGTGAAACTGCTATTAGACAAATGCTGGTGAGGGCCTATCCATGTTCATCGATTGCTGCTCTTTCGGCCTGTCATTGTTGGAGGGTGGGGCAAGGAATTATTCCCCGTCTCTTTCTCCCCACTCCCCCACAACATACAGTGCACTTGGTTTATTCAATCGACCTACTAAAATATTACCAGATTTGTTACAGACAAATAACAAGGATTTATTATTTAAAAGAATGATTATAAACCATTAGTTGACTGCTGCTATTGCGACCAAAGTCTAAGTGGATTTTCTTTTCTCTCTCTAACAATAAAGGAACCAGCTAGCTTTCTTTCCAAACCTACATAATTCTGAATTCTTACCTCAAATTGCAAGATCTGCATTAATAATCCTCGTAACTTGCTTTTCACAACATATTTGCTTTATAATGATCCGTGCAATTGATACAATGCCTTTCACAGGGAGAGTACAATACAAATACAAATTTACATTTCTATAGTATCTTTCATGTCAGGAGGATGTCCCAAGCTGCTTTACAGGATTTGCTGTCAAGTGTAGTGACTGTGTACTTGTAGGCGAAAGCATTGTTCCCATAATTCAAGGTTCAGTTAATGGATAATCTGTACAAGGTTAGTTTGCATAAAATCAGGAACATAGAGGAGATTTTCCAACTGCAATGTTACAGTTTTCTCTGAGTATTGATTTCACTGTTCCCCTTTTGTACTTGTAGACAAATTCATTGTTTAAAAATAATTGTTGACGGTCATCAATTTTGTACCAAACAAACAAGCTCTCTCTTCTGTATTCCTGTGGGTGTTTATCTAGCCTCGCTCAGCGCCTCTCTTGATAATGCACCCAAGGCTGGACATGTGCTGTTCAGTGAAACTGATATGCAATCACTGTTACTGTAACTCACAATGTGCTGTTTAGTTGGCGATAACAATGACCGTGACATTGAGTTTGGTAACCAGTTGGGCGCAGGACTTATTTTTTCTATTTGGTTAATCTTTTGCTGTCTGGCTATTTGCAGCACACCCACCAGATATGCCGTTAGTGAACGGGGATGGTTCCCATGACCATTCGGAGGTGGAAAGTCAAAACAACGAGAAGGATGATGCAGAGACCCAAAATGAAGATGGAAATGAGCAGGAAGTAATTGTGATCCAGGACACTGGCTTCACGGTCAAGATTCATGCCCCTGGGATAGAACCTTTTGATCTACAGGTTAGTAAAACAGTAATTACATACTCAGAGGAACATTTGGGCTGTGAAGAAATAAGTTGTTTTCCATTTCCATTTCTGCCTAAAGCAACAACAACGACTTAGATTTACATAGCGCCCTCCACGCCGGATGGTATCTCAGAGTGCTTCACAGTAACGGATCCCAGGGCCGAGCCAGAGGGAAGGGGAGCAAGATGACCAAAGGCGCGGTCGAAAAGAAAGGTCTTCAGCCGAGACGTAGTACAGCTGAGCACGATTTTGTCTTATTGAAACTTCAAGGACAACAACTTGCATTTATATAACGTCTCTCACGCAGGGTTGCGTTCCAGAACGGAGTGTTCCAGAGAGACCACGTTTATTTGGAGAGGGGGGGTGGGGAGGGGAATTGTTGGCCAGGACACCAGGAGAAACTCCCTTCTCTTTTCAAATGGTGCTATGGGATCTTTACCGTCCACCTGAAAACAGGCAGACAGGACCTCAGTTTAATGCCTCTTCTGAAGGACCTTTGCACTCGATCCATAATTGCTATTGATGAAGTCACCAGTCTGACTGCTATAGGTGTGCCCATTCAGCACTTCATTGTTATGTTTATTTATATTTATCTTATATTTTTTGCTTAAGTGCAAATGTCTGGCAGCTGCATTGTGATGTGATGCAATGTGAGTGATTAACCCATTGACTGCCACAGGTCTACATACCAAAACCATTTGTGTGTTTGTGTTTGTGTGTGGGGGCGGACTGGTTATCAAAATTTCCAGATGCTGCTTGTCACTGAATAAAGCAAATGCGTTGAAGGTCTTCATTCTTGGGAGGTTTGAATGGCCCTATCTAATATTTCCGCCTTTGAGAAAGGAACATTCCCTTCTGCACCACGTGTAACATTAATGCTGCCAAATGCTGGCTAGGAATGCGATTTTGGCATCCAAGACAATTAACGACAGCTGATCTATCTAGAAAGTCTAGTGTATATGTGGGCTAAAATAGTTTGATTTGCATTTCTTCAGAACCCTTACATCATCTTATCCTTGGAATACTTGTAAAAGGCAAGGCTACAGTGATCATTCTGGCCAGCACAATAACTGGTTTATATGATGACGGCTTTAATTTAGACCTTTTGGCTGCTGAGGGTCGGATGCCCTATTTGAGAAATATCTGCTGGCCGCATAAGCAATATTTTTGTGTTTCCATTCCAGAAGCATAACATTTATGAGTTATGGAGGGAGTGGATAGGCCAGATGAAATGGAGGGATGGGGTGGGGCAGATGACATGGAGGGATGGGGTGGGGCAGATGAAATGGCCAGTTGGACTACCCTGATTTAAACACTGTTCCATGCAACTGAACCCGGCTTCCAGAGTCCTAGCTTGTAACTGAAGATAGACTTAGAGCGGCAGAAATGCTTACAGAGAGCATAGAGGAAAAAGAAATGGGTTACTGCAGCGTGGAAGCAGAGTCTTAGGCAACAGAGTCTTAGGCAGCAGCCTGGCAGGTATAAGGTGTAACATGATGCAGGTCTACATTGTCCCTTAACGATTTGGGGCCTAGAAGAATTTGGGGGGGCATTGGGGCTTGATTGCAGGGACAAAGCTCGTTCCTTAGGAGGAACATATTGGCTAATGGGGGTGAGCAGGCCTAACCTCGATCACCAATTTAAAAAAAAGTGTAGCATTCTGCACAGAGTTTTGTCGATGATTTGCAAGATGCGTTGGCAAAAATCCAAGGGATTTATCCTGAGATTGAATTACACATATTTGCTGGTTCTCCCTTTTACAATTATTACAATTTGTACTTTTATTACAATTAATTGTAATTACTTTTACAGTGACTTTTATTACAATTGCAAATTCAATTATGATCAAAATGGTTACAATTATTCCCTGTGTGTGTTTTTTTTTCAGGTCTCTCCACAAGAGATGGTTCAGGAAATCCACCAGGTCCTGATGGACAGGGAGGACACTTGCCACCGCACTTGTTTCTCCCTGCAGCTGGACGGAAACGTTCTCGACAACTTTTCCGAACTCAAATCCATCGAGGGCCTGCAGGAGGGCTCCAATCTCAAAGTCGTAGAAGGTAGGAACGCGGTTTTGTTCCGTCTCATCCTGATCCGCAGTAATCAGAATAATTCCTTTGTAAGGGAGGTACTTCTCTAGTGAGGACATTCTATAGTATAAAACTATAGTTTTATTCAGCATAGATTTAGGACAACATATCAACCGTTAGATCATAGATAATGATCGATGTTAGAGGAATGAAGTTGTCATTTTCTCCTTGGGTTCAGGCAATTGTCAGAACCAGTGGAGCTTTCTGGGGCTCATAGCATCACTGAAACCATTACAGCCAACATACTGATTCCTATTCCTTATTTTGTCTTTGTCAACTGCGAAAAAAAGGCCGTACATGGTTGAACATGCCCATTTTACTGTAAAGCCACGGGGAAAGTTGTCAGTAACACAACGTTTGCTGCTTGTAACGTGGCAAAGTTTTGCAGAAGGATTTAAACCTCGATGAAATGTCATGGTCCATTTTTCGGGGGGTTGGGGGGGGGCATTGTTTCGAGTAGTGTTGAAACTGAACGGGGAGCAATGTAATGTTTCCTTTTCTTTGGCTTTCAACAGAGCCTTACACGGTACGTGAAGCCCGGATACACGTCCGACACATCCGGGACCTGCTGAAGAGCCTGGACCCGTCTGATGCTTACAATGGGGTCGACTGCAACTCGCTGTCGTTCCTGAGTGCGTTCACGGAGGGAGATTTGGGAGGTGAGAAGAGAACTGTACAGAGCTGTGACCCGCTTACACACAACCCGCGTCCCTAAAGTGTACCCGACAACCGAAGTTCAAACATCTAGTTGTCAGAAGGGCGACGACGACAACAACAACCTGCATTTTTTAGCGCCTTTCATGCGGGCTAGCGTCCCGGAGCGCTTCACAGTGGCGGAGTCTGACAGCTAACCAGGAGGGGGTGGGGGGGGGAGGAGGTGACCATAAGGACAATCAAAAAGGAAGGTCTTTAGGCGGGATTAGAAGTTGGGGAGGGAGGAAGGGGGCAAGGCGGGGGGATTGAGGGAGAGAGTTTTGGGGAGTAGTGTCTGAAAGCACGGACACTGATGGCATAACGGAGGGCACGAGCGCAATGAATTCATTTACATTAATTAACGGAGAAATCTCCTTCCGTGTCAGTTGCAGGATGGGCACCATTCAGATAAACATGGTGTTTGTGCTTGATAATCCTTTCGTGCCTTCGGTTTTAATGAACTTGGGGGTATTGCTATGCTCTCAGAGATGTTACTACTTTGCAGTATCTGGTTTGATTTACAATATTTCGATGTGTGCCCGACACATTGTCCTGTAGTGTAACGCATTCCGAATGTGTTACAACTTGACGTTCGTTTGTTTATTTAGAGACTGGGAAACGCAAGAAAAAAGGTGCCGACTTAGAACAAATTGACTGTACACCCCCTGAGCACATTCTGCCCGGCAGTAAGGATCGCCCTTTACTTTTCCTCCAACCACAAACAAAGGATTCAAAGGTATTCTTCTATTCAGGTTGTGTTATAATGATCCCTGCAATACATCATTAATAGATGTTGTGTGCTGTACTGAGATACCATCAAGTCGGCAAAAGATCTCCAAGCACTTTGCAGCATTTAGTGTGAAGTGTAGTGACTGTGCATTTGTAGGCAAACACGGCAGACAACATAAGAACATAACATAAGAATTTGCTAGGTGAAAGAAGACCAACGTTCATCTAGTTCGCCTTCCACCATCCTGGCAGGCAGCAGTCATTTAACATTTTGTGTCCCAAACTATACACTGTATCCTGAGATATTATTTTCTAGCAGAAATCTTATCTAATTTGTTCTTGAAACAAATGACATTTTCTGCATCCACTGTCTCCTTCGGGAGCCTGTTCCGTAAGTTTACTACTCGCTCATTGAATTAGTTTTACTGCTATTTGAACCCAGCAATGTCCCACAAGCAGCCACCACCCAAGTGTATCTGGGGAATTGTAAGCCTGGACACTGGGAGAAACTGACAACTTACTCATGATGGTACGTTAGGTTGCTCATGCTAGTGGGAACCTGATATGCATCATGGGCAGTCCAGTTCTGCAGGTTACAGTATTCCACCCAGTGTTAGCATCACGTCAGCCTTATTGGCAGAATGTATTCAGTTTCAAGTGCATTATCAGAGGGTTGAGAGCCTGTCCTTGTATAGGAGAAAGAAAATAGAAAAAACCAATATTAGTACAGTATTGCATATGCACACACCGTCTTGTACTTTAAACCAACAGAACAATGTTCATCTAACTGTGAATAGGTTAATGAATAAATATCATCAGAATTAATAGAAAAGGGGTTGATGTAAACTATATTAATTAATTTAGGTAATTAATAAATATACAGTTTACATCAAATCAGCTTACAATTCATATATGCACTGCCTGAAAAAGTCGGGGAATGAGAATCAATAATAACTTTCAAAGGGGAATTGGATACATACTTGAAAAGTAAATAATTGCAAGGCTATGGGAAAAGAGTGGGACTAGTTGGATAGCTTTTTCAAACAGCCGGCAGAGGCACAGTGGGCCGAATGGACTTCTTCTGTGCTGTAAGATTCTATGATTCTAAGAGATATTTATTTTGTGGTTTCAATGTGTTTCTCCCTCCCGCTCCCTTCTTTATTCCTTCACAGCCACTGCAATGCCTGAAAGTGTTGACGATGAGTGGCTGGAATCCTCCCCCAGGTAACCGTAAGATGCACGGTGATCTGATGTACCTGTATGTAGTCACCACAGAAGATCGACACGTCAGCATCACTGCTTCCACTCGAGGCTTCTATATGAATCAGTGAGTGGTTTTTTTTCTACAGTAAAACCCGCACAAGTCCGATCTGCATCAAACTTATAATCGCCTTAAATTGTCCATTCTCCCAAGTCAAGATTTTATATTCTATGCAAGTTTGACGTAATAAAAATAATAATAATCCTGGCATTTGATATAGCGTCATATCACGTCTTCAAGATGTTTTAAAGCGCTTCACAGAATATACTCTAGGGTGAATTGACTGTATATTTTGTGGTCGAAATAACTCATACTTTGCATAAGTCATATGACAACAACAACTTGCATTTATATAGAGGCTTTCAGGCCAGGCGGCGTCTCAAAGCGCTTTAATGTATATAAAATGTATGGTCCCAATTGATACGACTTGTGCGAGCTTTACAGTAATTGATGTCTTTGTGTGTGTGTGTGTGTTGTGGGCCCTTTACTTTAAAGCGCCTCAGGACATCTTGAAAGGCGTTATATAAATGTAATTTGTATAGTGTTGTCTCTGCATTATTTGTTATCCGTGTTTGACAGGTTGAGATGAGCAACCTGCTCCCAACTGTTTATCGCTCCATAGCAACCACAGGGAGGGGTACATGACACAGCTGCTCTGTCTTGATTTCTGGGTTTCTTTTCTTCTCATTCTGTCTTCTTCCACGTTGGGATGGGACAGAGGAGAAGGAGTTCTGGGCTTTGCTAAGCACCCGCCAACAAGGATACAAATGAAATTGGTAACGTACAGCATGATAAAAGGCAAAATACTGCAAATGCTGGCAATCTGAAACAAAAACACCCAGCGGGTCGGGCAGCATCATTGGAGAGAGGAAAGTGAGTCAGCAATGTGATAAAACACAATATCAAATTATTATTACTATCTACACCACTTTTTCTGGTTTGTTGAGGCACAGGTCTATCATTCATTCACTACACTTAACATCAGATTAACTTATTTTCACCTGGTCCCCAAAAACCCACATTGCCTTTGACAATCTGTACTCTCACGAGCACTTTAATGGCTGACTCAAAGGAAGCGGAAATAGGCTGGCTTGCTGCCCCCCAAAAGTGCATAAAACACTGATATAACTCTGATGATCAACTTTCATTGCAGAAGACTGCAATCCAGAGCCAAATAGAATACATTAAATATGTCTCATTTGCTGAGTTACAAATGACCCGTGTTCATATAATGTATGTGTCAAATATATTCAGCAAAATAAATTCCATTCTATTTAAAAGACTGATTCAAAAGCACTCGGCAAATGTAGCGGTAATCAGCGGGGCAGGGAAATAAGAGATGGAAAGGAGTTGACCTAATGCACAGTCAAAGCGGTATCGTTTTAGAAGTTTTGAGGCAAAGTGGTTTTGGAAGAGCTTCAGACAAAAAAAGTTCAGCCACCAATACAACAACAACAAGATTCCATTTATAGAGCGCCTTTCACGTCGGGAGGACGTCCCAAGGCGCTGGACAGTTGGGTCGGGACCCGAGCAGGGGGGAAATGGTCAGGGTGAGGGGAGGGAAGGGAGGGAGCGAGGAGGGGGTAGAGAGTTGAGAGGGGAGCTGAAGGCACGGTCAAAGAGAAAGGTCTTGAGACCGGCCTTGATAATGGAGTGAGCAATGTTCTGGAAACTAAGAATCTCAGGATGTAGTGTATAGTTTGGGACACAACATGTCAAGGGACTGCCAGGATGGTGGAAGGCGAACTAGATGGTCCTCGTTCTTCTTTCGCCTAGCCAATTCACCTCAAATCATGCTCTTAAAATCCTGTAACGCTGACTGTGATGGTTCTGTTTGAGTAGGTCCACAGCCTACAACTTCAACCCCAAGCCAGCAAACCCAAGCTTCCTCAGCCATTCCCTGGTGGAGTTACTGAGCCAGATCAGCCCTACTTTCAAGAGGAACTTTGCTGCGTTGCAAAAGAAGAGGTGAGAACTGTGTTTGTGAGAATTGTCCGCATCGCAATATTCAGAACCTAGCAATACAATAAACACCAAGTTCCCGTTGAATAATCAACTACGGGTGAAGAAATCCTGCCTTTGGTCAAATTCACTCATATTTTAACCTTTTAGAGCATCCAGAATTTGGCAAATTGTTCAGTCGGTCTCAGTGTTCATAGTGGCTTTCTGTACTTCTTGAAGGAATACAAAAACAAGGCTTTGAAATTAAGGTTGTAATCAACAATTTTGCAAACTCTGGGCATTTTAAAATGCTACATAAATAGAGTAAACCTAGATTCAGGTGGAATTTTTTCCCCACTTTTTTGTGTCCAAGCAATGCAGTTTTTCAAACTGAATATCTGAGTTGGTAAATGTTCTAATTCAGTTATTCTTGAAATCCTTGTATGTGTATTATTGATAGTAGTAATAGTAAATGATATACTTATAGTGTGAGATCAGGTTGCAGTATTGCCATGGAGGCAGAATAGATCTATGATGCAGGAGGAGGTCATTCAATTCATTGAGACAGTCCCCACGAGTTTGTTAGGTCATGTACCACAATATCCCAATAAATGCAGCCAATGCTGATTGTATTTCTGTGATTGTAGGCTCATGTTACAACGCTGCCTGCTCAATGAATCCATTAGCCACAGTTGGAACCTTAGTTTCCTGGCTGGGCTGCAGGATCAATTTCCTCACCTTGACTTGAGGGAACCCTGTTTGCTGTTAACAGAGTCCAGTGCCCAGTCAGTCCAGAGCAGAAATCTGTAGCTCGATCTTCAACACATCTGGTAAACCTGACGGCTTGGCGAGGCAGTATATTTTTAAACTGGGGAATGTAGATGAAGGAGGCCAAGGTGAATAGTGCAAGATCCAAGGCTGCAAGCCTTTTGGAGATAAACGGAGAGGAAATAGTGATGCCATGATGGGGTTTTAAGGCCGGGACATTCATCTGTTTTAAGCTCATCCCTCTGTGGAGTCCTGTTAGAGGGATCGCTCATGAGCGAGAAACCTGGGTTCGATTCCTGGCAGGACGAAACGTTGGGCAGGTTTCCTTATTCCACAAGACCCTGTTTACCTAGCAGTAAAAAGGAACCCAGCTGTTAGTCAATAGGCATATCGCTTTTCCAGGGGTAATAATTCCTCCCCTAAAATATAATAATAATTTGGTCGCTCAATCCACGACTGTTTGTGGGACGCTGCTGTGCGCAATAGGCTGCTGCTTTTTGCCCACAAAATTTGCAGTCTATACACTGTACAGTATATTCTGTGAAGCGCTTTGAGACGTCTCGAAGACGTGATAAGGCGCTATATTAAATGGAAGGATTATTATTATTACAACTGCATACTGATTGATTCATAGGGTTCAACGTCACCCATTTGAGAGGATAGCGACTCCTTTCCAGGTGTATAACTGGACCGCACCCACAGTGGAACACGCCATGGACTGTGTGCGAGCAGAAGATGCCTACACTTCGCGGTTAGGATACGAGGAGCACATACCTGGACAGGTATATCGAAAACCTTGTTCACATTAAGACGCCTGTAACAACTTAAATGAGGCTTCCTCTGTGCGTCACGTTTTCTGCCCATTATCTCTGGAATAATTTTGCAAGGGGTGTGGATTTTACCCCCACATGAGCCTCTGGATAGCAAACCTACTCCTCGTGCTCTGCCAAAGTCAAACAAATCAGAAGAGGATAAGGATAGCTCTTTCCCATCTCAATTCTCTCTGCTATTGTCCCCTCTCGAAGAGGAGGAGAGAGTTTCTGCCGAGATTCAGCCAACAGGAATTGAATTCAGCATCGACTCCATCTCATTCTAATAGGTCACTAATATTTTCCTGCACTTGAATTGTTAGCAATGGGTGTTTATTTCACATAAAATATTCATAGCAATGTCATTTCCTGCTTTGTGTTTCACCCCAAATACAATGTACGGGCCCATTGAATGGGTATTGATGTCATGGATTTTTCCAATAATCCTGACTAGAACAGTGCGAGCAGATGTCCAGTTATAGGTTGATTCTGGATAACAGTGTTTGTCTTCGCTTTGACACTAAGTAATCCTACTTATTAGTCGCTGCAGGTTCTAGACTGAGTGCATTGGAAATTGCATTTTCACAGGGAATCTGAATCCCGTTGTGCAAAGCTCTTTTGTTGATCTGAACACCAATATTTGGTATAAATAGAGCTGTCCTGTTAGTGTTACTGAGTCTCTGGTTATTGGGCTTTGCAGAAACCTGAAGTGTTATAGTGATTTATCCTATCAAGGATTTATGCTGCTGTGTGCCTCTAAATTGATGCAAGAATAATTCAGTGGCTCATATTGATGGTGTCTAAACTAGCTTAGACTTTCACACCGACAATCTGAGATCGTACACACACACAGAATCCGAATACATTACTCGTGATATAAATCAGTTGTTACTCCATTTCACTCTTCATCTGCAAATCAGAAATGATGAACACATTAGAAATGTAATCTAGGGAGATTACTTTATGGTAATCCTCTGTACATCACTCATTTATACGTCAGAGAACGATGCATACACAGCCAGGCTGGGCTTTCTTTCCTGCAACATTAAGTTTAGTTAGATGGAAATTGGTGAGTTCTGCACTGTACTAATTCAGATGGTATGAGGTTTCTTAGTGCTAATCCCAGAAGCATCTGCTGTTTTACAAATGATGAGGGGGTTTAGGAGGAAGACACCACATTTAACTTACTTGGAGCTACGGTATCTTTCATTAGGTCGTAGCTCAGCAGAATATTGTAGACACTTCACACACAGACCTGTTTGTGAGCTTCCTTGAATGAATCAGCTACCTGCTTTGAATAATCACTAAATGTGAGCAGTAGCTCATTTGCATCTCAATTTTCAGATTTATTTTTGAATACAACAACAACAAAATTACATTTGTATAGTGTAAAATCGGTGAATGAATGAATGAATGAATGAATATTCACTGTATTGTTTCAGACCAGAGACTGGAATGAAGAATTGCAAACTACCAGGGAGCTACCACGTAAGAATCTTCCTGAGAGATTGCTAAGAGAACGCTCTATTTTCAAGGTAAATCCACTATAACTGATGTTTTGAAGCCAATATTAAATTCATTTCAATGCCTCTTCATCCTAAACACCATGAAGGGTTGTTCTTCTCTGTGAGTCCTATATATTTGATATATGTGAGTTGAGTATATTTGGCTCCATGCAACAATACTCCCAAATGTGTTTAAACATAAACTTTAACGTAATGTAATTTTACATTTGTAGTAATAACAATAATCCTTGCCTTTGATATGGCGCCTTATCACGTCGTTGAGACATCTCAAAGCGCTTCACAGAATATATTGTAAAGTGAATTGACTGTATTTTGTGGGTGAAACGCAGCATATATATAATAAAATATATAATGGGATATATAATGGAATGTTACTTAATCGATAAAATTATACTTAAAGTTCAAATCAAGGATCCAGAACTGAAAGAATGTGCTAACCCTCTCGCGACTGTGACAAATAGTCTTGTCTGCGAACGATTGTAACTAAACCACTAAACCTGCTTTTTGTGTGTTGTTTCTTTGCAAGGTTCACAGTGATTTTGCGGCAGCTGCCACGAGGGGAGCCATGGCAGTAATTGACGGCAACGTCATGGCCATCAACCCAGGCGAGGAGACCAAGATGCAGATGTTCATCTGGAACAATATCTTCTTCAGCTTGGGCTTCGATGTCCGCGACCACTACAAGGACTTCGGTGGAGACCACGCTGCCTACGTGGCTCCCACCAATGATCTAAACGGAGTTCGGGCCTATAACGCAGTCGATGTTGAAGGACTTTATACGTTGGGAACGGTGGTGGTGGACTACAGAGGCTATAGAGTGACTGCGCAGTCCATCATCCCTGGTATTTTGGAACGAGAACAGGAACAAAGCGTCATTTACGGGTCCATCGACTTTGGTAAAACAGTTGTGTCCCACCCCAAATACCTCGAATTTTTGGAGAAAACGGCCAGGCCACTCAAAATCCAGAAGCATAAAGTATTGAATGATAAGAATGAGGAGGTGGAGCTGTGCTCCTCTGTCGAGTGTAAAGGAATTATCGGTAATGACAGTCGCTATTACATTTTGGACTTGCTGCGCACTTTCCCACCAGACCTGAACTTCCTCCCCGTGGAAGGGGAAGAACTCCCGGAGGAGTGCAAAAAGATGGGATTTCCCAAGGAGCACAGGCACCGGCTGTGCTGTCTGAGACAGGAACTCATTGAAGCCTTTGTTGAGCACAGGTAAGCGCAAGGGAAAGGGCAGAATCACTCATCACCCCCACATATGGAGTCCTGTAGCGTAGTGGTTAGAGCACTCTTCTCGAAATCAAGGACCTGGGTTTGATTCCCGGGCGGGGCAAAACCTTAGGCCAGTTTCCTTACTTCACCTAGCTGTAAGTAGGAACCTGGTTGTTAGTCAATTGACGGATTGCTTTCCAGGGGTAATAATCCCACAAAATACGCAGTCAATTCACTTTACAGTATATCCTGCGAAGGACTTGAGACGTCTCGAAGACGTGATAAGGCGCTTTATCACAAGCAAAGATTATTATTATGAATAATTAATGAACATTTCAGGCCATATTTTTACTGAATTCTGTGATAGTATTTTAACTTTAACCGGTTAGTTAATATTGCTTGAAGTGAAACAGGATTATTACGTATTATTATACGGCACTGCTGCAGCTCCTCTGCTGGACGGGAATGATATTTCAGCTAACCTCGGGCACTTCTTATGGTCCGTTCCCGCTGCGTCCGGCTTAACCGGCTTCCGCTGTTATTTATTTTTCAATCCGCTCCCTTTCTCCGCCCACAGATACCTTGTCTTCATGAAGCTAGCCGCCCTACAGCTCATGCAACAGAAAGCCAGCAAGCAGGAGAACGCTTGCCCGGCCGTCACAGAAAACGGTATGTCCTGTATTGAAGTGGCCGGGGAAAGCAGCAAAACTGAGTCGGAAGATGGTAAGACTGAGGAAAACATTTCAGGATTAGACCAAGCTAGAGATCTCGCGAAGGCCCTTACGTCAGAAGATGGAACAGGTATTTTGTCTGAAGCTGCCTGGCTGAACAGCTGCAATCTGCACCTTGGTGTGTGGTGGTGCTACTGTAATCTGAATGCCATTGATTGCTCGCACTGCTAACACAAAGGATGAAGTGTCTTGGATCGACTTCTCGTCTGAAATGCCTCGTTCTCTCTCCGGTTTAATCTGTGTTCCGCCTTTATAACGGCATCTTCCGAATCATTTATCTTCTGATCCGCAATCCGTTAAGCTTTAAGTATTGAAAACGTGGAGAGGAAAATAGATCCTAACTGTAACTTTTCTTCTGAAAGTCTTCTAGATTCTTGTGACTCGTGGTGTTTCCTAAATTGCATGCTTGATTTTTATTTCAACTCGAACTGGTTGCATTTTGTTGGTCCTGTTTTGTGGGTGGGGGGAGGGGAGTGGAAATAAAAGTGCACAGTGATGAAGATTGGCTGTAGGCATTATTGTGACATTAAATCTTTTCCCTTTTTACAGTTGACCCCAAAAGTAAGGATGTTATCCTCAATGCGTGCAAAGCAGTTGGCTCCATCAGCAATTCGTCTTTTGATATTCGCTTCAATCCAGACATATTTTCACCAGGTAGGGAACCATATAATTACAGATAGAAATCTCGACTATTTTGCCGAGGCAAGAAGCCCTGCATTGCCGCTTTGCATTCATAACATCGGTAGGTGTGGTAAATTCCTCGGGTCAGTATTTCTAAAAACTGGGGCTGGGGGCGGTTTGTTGTTCTGTGAATTTCAGTCACAAAAACATGCAAAGTGTGTCGAACGTGCCTGTGGTGTAAAATGAAACGCAGCTGATGACTGCCTCTAGCGGTGTAAATAGTGTACTGCTGTTTTCCAGGTGTGATATTCAAAACTTTTCACGGTGGGGGAGGGATCCGTCTTGAGACTGGTCTTGATGAGGGCGAGGGAGGGAGGGGGCGAGGCGGAGGGCCTGCAGGATGGAGTTCCATGTTAGAGTGGCAGAAGGCCCGCCCACCATTGGTGGGGTGAACGAGGCGGGGGACGTGAAGCAGGCCACTGAGCGGAGGGAGCGGGCAGGTTGGTAGGGGGTTAGGAGGTCGCAGAGGTGGGGGGAGCAAGACCATAGAGGGCTTTGAAGGTGACCAGGATCTTGAATTATACCCTCTGTGTGATGGGAAGCCAGTGGGGTCGGGTGAGAATGGGAGTGATAGGGTCGCGGAGCCCGGTGCGGGATAGAACACGGGCTGCAGAGTTCTGGATGATCTGCTGCCTATGGAGAGAGGAGGCGGACAAGCAGGGAGTTTGCGTAGTCGAGCCTGGATGTAATGGAGGCTGGTATGGGGTCTCGGAAGCCTGTAGTGTGAGACAGTGCCGGAGCCGGGCGATGTTGTGGAGGTAGGGGAAGGCAGAGCGGGTCATGGCGCAGATGTGGGGTGGAAAAGATAGTTGAGGGTCAAACAAGATGCTAAGGCTCCAGACTGACTTAGTAAGGCGGAGAGTGCAACCATGGATGGTGATGCTGTCAGTGCCTGAGGTGAGGCGCTGACGGGAGCCAATCAGGAGAGCATCGGTCTTGTTGACATTCAGCCGTAGAAAATTAGCTCTCATCCAGGACTTGATGTCTGACAGACTCCTGGAGTCCTGGAGTCAAGGGTGGAGGCAGAGAGGTAGAGTTGGGTGTTATCCGCATTCATTTGGAAATTGACCCATGTAATAATAATAATAATAATCCTTGCATTTGATTTAGCGCTTTTCACGTCGGGAGGACGTCCCAAAGCGCTTCACAGAACACACTGTAAAGTGAATTGACTGTATATTTGTGGGCAAACGCAGCAGTCAATAGCGCACAGCAATGTCCCACAAACAGTCGTGGATTGAAAATGACCAATTTATTATTGTTTTGGGTTTTTGGAGGGATTATTATTAGGCTCTGTGTGGAGTAAGAAAACTTGTCCTAGGTTTCGCCCTGCCTGGAATTGAACTCAGGTCTCTCGCTTTCAAAGCGAGTGCTCTAACCACTGAGCTACAGGACTCCCATGTTTGCGATGATGTCACCAAAAGGGAGCATATAGATAGTGAAAAGGAGGGGACCAAGGACAGAGACCTGAGGAACGCTGCACAAGATGGTGCCGGGGCTAGAGGAGAAGCCGTTTGTGGAGATGAAGTGGAGATGGTATTGTGAGATGGGATCTGAACTATTCAAGGACAGAATCATGAAGGTTGAGGTGAGAGGAGAGGCAGTGGAAGAGGATAGAGTGGTCAACAATATCGAAGGCAGCAGAGAGGTCAAGGAGGACGAGGAGTTAGAGGGAGCCCTGTTCACAGGTGGACAACATGTCATTTGTTACTTTGACCAAAGCTGCTTCTGTGCTGTGGGCAGCACGGAAACCCGATTGGAGGGGTTTGCGAAGGGAGTGGCGGAAGAAGAAGGAGCGAGGTTGGGAAGCAACAGCTCGTTCGAGGACCTTGGAAAGGAAAGGGAGTGATGACGTTAATAAAACCTGGGAATTAATAATAATAATCCTCGCATTTGATAGCGCCTTATCATGTCATCGAGACGTCTCAAACCGCTTCATAGGATATACGGTAAAACGGATTGACTATATTTTGGGGGTGAAACGCGGCAGCCAATTGCACGCAGCAGTGTCCTGCAAACGGTCATGGATTCAGTGACCAAATGAATGCCTTGTTTGCAGATTGTGAAGACATTGTTTCATAAACCAAAGCAATGTGAATGTCGTGAGATACGGCTCAAGGAGTCGTGAATGGGCAATTTAAAAGACTTGCATTTTGCTGTGTTTCGCTGATGTTTGTTTATAAATAGGATATAAATGGAGATGCTGGAAAATCCAGGTCTGACATTGAGACACATACAATACATTCATTCCCAGGGCCGGTGTATTAAATCTTCCCCCGGTTGCTCAGGGAACGGTCTATAGCCCATCCTCTCGCTGTCTGTTCCACATGTAGCACAGAACATGTCATTCCAGTCATTGTGGCATTTATTTGACACAGGTGTTCGTTTCAAGGATGCCAACTGCGAAGAGATGCAAAAACAGAAGCAGCTGTTGAAAGATGCTGCCGCATTTCAGGTCTCCTGCCAGATCCCATCTTTGGTAAGAAAGCCGGTCGGTCAAATGGGCGAAACATTACTTTCCTCTTGCCGATTCTGACTGATAGCTGTGGGTTGCCAGTGTCCCACTGTTTTGAGCTGAACTGGACGTTGCCAGTGCCGTTCATAGCAAAACCAAACCCGTTGCAGAACCGTGCAAACTCTTTTTGCTTCAGTCTTTTTGTGGTAAAGGTACGCAGATTAGATGGGATTGTTTGCGTGTGGAAAACTTGGTTTCCCCTACATATGTTTCACAAGGTTAAATGCAGAGCTTTAGTGATGCTGGTAATGGAGAGGTCCAGCAGATAGGTTTAGAGATGCTTCATGTAGATCACAAGTTGTGCGTCTATGCTCGTTTCCTCTTCCCCCTTCACCATTTGAAGAATTACCCTTTTCCGTCTGAAAGAGCCTGTGTTCTTGTGTTCCAGATAAAAGACTGCCTTGATCACACAGTACTTCCAATGGATGGGGCTACATTGGCCGAAGCCATGCACCAGCGGGGCATCAACATCCGTTACCTGGGCAAGATAGTGGAATTTGTTACAAAGAGTCCAGCCAAGCAACAATTGGATCACATTTATGTATGTGTTCCAATACCTCACACTCGTCTTCAAATCCCTTCACGCCCTGGAATCTCCTTACCTCTCCCAACCTGCTTACTCCCCAATCCACGAACAGTTGGCTCGATTGACTCCGGCCCTCAGTTCTACCACTAGCCACTTTCTCCCGAAACTTGGGATCACTCTCTCTCCATCCCCCCACCTTCCCCATCTTCAGGTCGCGCCCCTGGAGACCTTCCTCTTCGACCGTGCCTACGGTCACCTCCCCCTGGCTCAGCGTCGTGCTCCGAGACACTACCCTGTGTGAGGGGCGCTATAGAAATGCAAGTTGTTGTTGTGTTGGGAGCATTGTCTTACAGTTTTGTAGAGTTTGTGAGACCTACAATGGATGTCAACTTTCTATTTAATTGAAAACTACTAAATATTGCATTCTTCAAAATTAATATCAACGGAGCTAACATTTAGTCACCGAAGCTCACATTGGATTTTTGGTATGGTTGGGACTGATGTGTACTTTTCCTGCTTCTACAGAAACTGGGAGTCAGTGAAGTGATCACCAGAGCTGCTAAGCATGTCTTCAAAACGTATCTTCAGGTAAGATTGCTCGATAGAGCAATTAGTTATTACCTTCTTGTCTGGTATAATGCGAACCGAGCTTTAATCTCTGACTGAAGGACGGTTCCAACAATCAAATGTTTCCACATCCCACACTGAGTTCCGCATTTTTCTTCTGCTGCTTGCACAAACTGAGAATCACTTTTTTGTTGGCCAGCTGGGCGTCTGGGTCTGACACAAGCGGAAACCCGTCACCATGCTTAAGAATATCCAAACCAAGCTGAGAATTCCATGCATCCCACCGAGACATGGAAATTCCAGAGATAGTTTGTTGGGATGAATATTTGAGATATTTCAATATTAAAGGCAATATAAAATGCAAGAATTATTATTATTGTATCAATTAATACCCCTCCACCCCGCCTCTACCCTTGCCTCCTTAAAGTCCCGTCTCAAGACCTTCCTCTTTGATCGTGCCTTCAGACACCCTCCTATCCCCACTTCCAACTCCCTTCCCCTCCTCGTCACTCCAGCACCAAACTTGAGTTCCTTGGCTCCAGTGCCTTCCAATGTGAAAGATGCTTTATAAGTGTAATATGTTGTTCTTACTACTAATGTATGTGCAACTTATTACACTTACACTATCTGACAAGTATTGTCAGTTTCTTTGCTTTGGAGGCAAATGTGAATGTTTATGACGATTGAAATTCAGCAGTTTGGGAGCAGTGGTGGCGTGGGTCGGAGTGAAAGGTCGGCAGGTTGGAATTAGAATGCACTTCGAACAGTGTGAGATGAAAGACCCCACTGCCTGCTGTCCTGTTTGAATCGTTGGGATAATCTCAACCCAATTTTACATCCATTTGACCACACCTTGGAGTCCTAAAGCGTATAAGTTAGAGCACTCGCCTCGCAAGCGAGAGGACCTGGGTTGGACTCCACACGCCTGTTTACCCACCAGTACGTAGGACCCCGGCTGGTAGTCAATTGGCGGATCACTTTCCGGGGGTAATTATCCCTTCAAAAAATAATAATAATTTGGTCACTCAATCCTCAACTGTTTGTGGGACACTGTTGTGCGCAATTGGCTGCTGCGTTTCACCCATAAAATACATAGTCAATTCACTTCATGGCTTTGAGAAGCGCTTATTACTATAAAGCCAAATATAAAGATCACCAAATTTCCAATGACTAAGCAGTTTTCCCGAACTGGCCTGTCATTTATCTTGGCCTGAACTGATCTTATAACCTGCTGTCTGCCATCTGCCAACACTGCCCGTTCACCAACAGCAAACACAAGAGACCAGACGGGGAGTTGGCACTCTGCCAGTTAATTGCTTCTCCAGATTTTCACCAGATGGCTTGGCAAATGTTCTCTGTGGCACAGAACAGCTCAATACCCATGTGCTACTGCGCTGAGCTGCCTCTCTAGTTCTGTCTTCAATATTGTAGATTAATTAAATTTTTCGTAGCTGCAAAATTAGGATATTTTGTTTCAACAAAAAAATGGCTGGTCTGAAAAAGTCTTTCAATTATAACAGGTCATTGTTTTGGAATTCAAGGTGCATACTTTCAGCTTTATCTATTTTAAGTGTGCGAGAAGGTTTATTGCGAGACTTTTTTAAAAAAAATCTAACCTTTTCTTCCTTCCTGCTTGCTACAGGGAGTGGAACTCTCGGGATTGTCTGTTGCCATCAGCCACTTCCTCAACTGCTTCCTCAGTTCCTTCCCCAATCCCGTTGCCCACCTCCCCACCGACGAACTGGTTTCGAAGAAAAAGAGGAACAAGAGGAAGACTCGCAACCTGGGAAATACCGACAACACCACCTGGGCCAGCACCACACCCCAGGAGCTGTGGAAGAGCATCAGCAATGAGGCCAAGGGCTACTTTGACTTCAGTGTAGACTGGTACAGTCATTGAAATGTAGCTTCAGTTGTAGCTGGAATGTAGCTTATACTTTAGATCTTCAAATCCCTTCATTCCCTGGCACGTCCCTTCCTCTCCGACCTGCTTTCTCCCCAACCCACTGCCCGTTGCCTCCGCTCGACTGGCTCTGGCCTCCTGCATGTCCCTCCTCCCTTACGTTCTACCATCAGTAGCCGCACTTTGAGCCACTACGCCCCAAAACTCTGGAATTCTCTCCCTCAATCCCTCCGCCTTGCCCCCATCCTTCCCTGTCTTCAGGTCATGCCTGAATACCTTTCTCTTCGACTGTGCCTACATCACCTCCCCCTGCTCAGTGTCGTGCGTTCGCAGGTTAGCAATCTATTAGCAATTGGCTCCAAGGTTATTTTGTCTTTTACTCTTTTTTGCGTTTAGTGATTGTTGTGATCCCGCTAAGTAACCTTTGAGACTTGGTCCCCGTCAACCACTCCCTTGCCAGCCATCCCATCACCCATTCCCATGCCAACTGTTCCGCGCCAACCGTTCCAGCGCCAAACAATGCAACCCACTCGTCCTGCACCATCAGAGGAGAAAGAAAAGCTATACTCGGGAATTGTGGCAATGCCTTAAAGGGATATAACCAATGCATGATTTCTTTTGTTTATTAGTTAATTTAGTTAATGGCTTTAAATTGAATGAAGAAGGCTGCGGAAAGTATTTCTCCTCTGGTTTAATGTTATTTCTCCTCCCCTTCCTGTGATCCTCCTGAGCCAAGATGAGGAGATGGGGACGCACTCCCAGACCTCAGTAATTCTGCTGTTTAGCTGGTCACTGGGTGGTGTGAGAGAGCAATCAATCTGCTGCTTGTCCCAGGGGGAGGAGTCTTTCCATATTCCAGTATAAGGCTTTCTCTGATGCCAAAGCTGCAGCCAGTCATTTGCTCTTAAGAGAATCCTAGGTCACACGCCAGGCTTTTGTAACGAGCATTTTATTTCTTGTAGCTTTCTATTTGCGAGGGCGTGGGTTGAAGTATTACAATTTTCACAGATGAAGGTTTGGGAATTAATTTTTTTTGCTCTTGAGAAAACCCTGTATCGTTAAAACGGCTCAAAAGATGCACTGGAGTGCCTTAGTGGGATCTCGGGAATATTCGGGAAGTAAGTTAATTTGCACACACGCTCGCACTGGTAAGCAGTGTATTAGCAGTAAGAGTTGGGGATATCAAGTCTGCACCACCCAGGGCTCCAATGAGCTGTCTGATCGGTTTCATTATGTGGAATTGCCTGCCTTAGCAAGAGGCCCACAAAGCTCTTATAACAGCGCTGTTTATTATTTGTTATGAAACGGTTATTATCGTGTCAGATGTCCAACACGAGTCGCAACAAGGTCTGATTTTCATTTGCTTCTTTTTATCTACAGCGAGAGTGTGGAACAGGCTACAGACAAGTATGGGCTACAAAAAATCACCCTCTTGAGAGAGATCTGTGTGAAATCAGGTATACAGGTAAGTCGTGCTTTATCAATAATAATAATCCTTGCATTTGATATAGTGATTTTCACGTCTTCGAGACGTCTCAAAGCGCTTTACAGAATATACTGTAGAGTGAATTGACTGTATATTTGTGGGCGAAACACGGCAGCCAATTGCATACAGCAGCGTCCCACAAACAGTCGTGGGTTGAGTGACCAAATTATTATCTTTTTTCTTGAGGGATTATTATCAGGAATAAGGAAACTTGCCCAAGGTTTCACCCTGCCGGGAATCGAATCCAGGTCTCTCGCTTGAGAGACGAGTGCTCTAACCACTGAGCTACAGGACTCCACTGTTGGCTTTGGCTTGTGCTCACTGATATATTGATTTAGTAATGTGTTGAGTAAAACCAAGCATTTTGAGATGTCTCAACGATGTAATAAGGCGTTATATCAAATGCAAAGATTATTATTATAACTATTATTATTGTTGTGCGGCACATTCCATTTAAAGCTGTAACTACCCTCTGCTCTGGGCCAAGGAGGTAAAAATGATCTAGTGTTCATGTTCTTGATTGTTCATCCATTATCTCCACGAAAACACCTGCTGACAAGTGCAGATATGAGGCAGTTACATCAGGCTCAACTGAGGTGTCCCTCCCTCTCTCTAGGCCAAACGTCAGTTGGGGAGAGTGCGGAGAGTGACTTACAACACACAGTCACTACACTTTACAGTATATCACGCGAAGCGCTTTGAGATGTCTCAATGACGTGATAAGGTGCCATATCAAATAGAAGGATTATCATTGTACGCCAGCATGAATTAGCACCTCCAGGAGGCAATGGGAGAAAAGTGGAGCAGAGTGAAACCATTTGGGGGTCATTTTATAATGAACAATGTAGACCAGCCAGAACTTTGCTTTCGTTGATTACTCAATTTTGTTCTTTTATTAGATTCAGGTCATTCAATTACCAGGATTCATGCTTGGTTTGAACCCTTGGAATGATTAAATGTACATATAAATCATATTTTTTGATGCTGAAATGTTATTTTATGTGTGTGTGTATTTTTTGTAAAAATGTACCAATTAATTCCACCGTTGAGCGTTCCACGACACTACCCGCGTGAAGGGCTCTATATAAATCTAAGTTGTTGTTGGGATACACAAATTCAGAAGTGGATTAACATGAGATGTTGCCTTGATTTTGCAGATATTGTTGAAGGAGTACAACTTTGACAGTCGTCACAGACCAACCTTCACCGAGGAGGATATCCTAAACATCTTTCCTGTTGTGAAACACGTCAATCCCAAAGCATCTGATGCCTTCCACTTCTTCCAAAGCGGACAAGCTAAAGTCCAGCAAGGTGCAGTACCTATAGAACTCACCACGCTGCATTTACTGAGTTGGCAGCCTAACGTTTCAGAGAAAGACCTGTAGGGCTGTTGCTAGGTAAACTGTGGCCACACGCCTCTACTTACCTAGCAGTAAGTAGGAAGCCGGTTGTTAGTCCATTGGCGCATCGCTTCCAGGGATAATAATCGCTCTTAAAATAATTATAATTTGGTCAACAACAACAACTTGCGCTGATAATAGCACCCTCCACGCAGTGTAGCGTCTCAGAGCGCTTAACAGTGGCAGACCCTGACTCCGAGCCGGGGGTGAGGGGGGAGGTGGTGGTAAGCACAGTCGACGAGGAAAGTTTTCAGGGGGGACTTGTAAGAGGGAGAGAGGGGGCAAGGCGGAGGGATTGAGGGAGAGTGTTCCAGAGTTTAGGGGCGTAGTGGCTGAAAGCGCGACCTCTGATGGTGGGGCGGAGAACAAGGGACGAGCAGGAGGCCGGTGCCAGTCGAGCAGAAGCGCCGGGTGTTGGATTGGGGAGTGAAGAGGTTGGAGAGGTCGGGAGGTGCCAGGGAGTGAATGGATTCAAGCACGAGTGTGAGAATTGGTCACTCAATCCACGACTGTTTGTGAGGCACTGCTGTGCCGATTGACTGCCGTGTTTTGCTCACAGAATACACAGTCGATTCGCTGTGAAGTGCTTTGAGACGTCGCAACAACGCGCTCTATCAAATGCAAGGATTATTATCATTATTATGAATCTCTGGGTTTTAACGATAATCTAGTTTATAAACCCGTTAAACAAAAGTGTAAGAGCCGTGTGACAGCAAAACAGAAATACAACCACGTACAGATCTAGCCATTACAAGCAGATAAATCATTGCTGCCTCAGGTCTGAGTATCGCTAGCGCCACTTCCCAATTTCCCACTTTCCAAGACTCTGCCCGAGTATCTTTAAATAGACTTAAAAAGTATTACAACCAATCTAACTCTGCGAGAGGGTCGTGAATCAGTTCAAAGCAAGTTCTGCGCTCAGCACGGTCGCACGGTGACTGTTTTGCTTCACCGCCTGCTGGGCTCCCCCATCTTGGCCACGCGTTTGCTGCGAGAGGCAGAATGGGGCTAAAAGCCGGCGCTGCAGGAACAGAAGGCAAACCTGCAGGCAGCTTAACCTACACCCACCATCAATCACCTTCCAGCAGCCAATTAAGAATGGCTTTGGCAGAGGGTTGAGAGCAGGTTGCTGTGCATTTGTCTCGGCTCAGTAGCAGCGTGGAGAGGCTCTGCACTGTATGGTCCAGTCTCCTCTGCACACAGAATCTAAAGACTTAAAGTATGTGCCTGAGAAAATCTCCAGAGACTGGAACATTCCAAACCCATTTGCTTCCAAGACTTGATACCTGGTACATAATCAATGTTCCTTGATGGTCCTGATCCCTTCAGCTCTGCAATGCGTGTGAGTGGAATGGTAAGAGTGTTACACTGGCCGAACGTGGTGTCTGATTAATCAGTTCCATCATCCATCTCCATCCTTCGGGTGAGACGTTAAACCGAAATCCCGTCTGCCTGCTCAGGTGGGCATTAAAGATCCCTTAAAGCACTATTTGAACAGAGACAAGCATTTTTCCCGGTGTTCTGGCCAACAAACCCCCCCCCGGCTAAAATTGGTTAATCACGTTGAGGCTGTTTGCGGAACATTTGCTGTGTGCAAATTGACTACAAACACACAATCCCTACGCTTTACAGTAAATCCTGTGAAAAGCTTTGACATGTTTCAACGACTTGGCTCGGTATTGTACAATCAGTACATTTACCCAGGGAGTTGCGTTACTTGCATGAAATGGAAAGAGAAACATTTATTTGGATATTAAGGTCCAGTAACAATCTGGTAATTGTTCCAAATCAGCTCAGAAAGTGGATTTAATTAAAAAGTGGCAGAAAAGATTACTACATTGCAGATTATGCCGTACGAAAGAGAAAGCTTGTGTGTGTTTAACATGTCCCCTAGCGCATGTGCAACACTTAACAAAATGTCTTTTGCAGGATTCTTAAAAGAGGGCTGTGAGCTAATCAATGAGGCCTTAAACCTTTTCAATAACGTTTATGGAGCGATGCATGTCGAAATCTGTGCCTGTCTGAGGCTCCTGGCCCGTCTGAATTACATCATGGGGGATTATATAGAGGTGAGACTACGGTTGCTTCACAGCTATTTAGTTGCCCAGTTCTCTTTTTCGGACACAGTCAATCCACAATCCACTATAATCAAATATAAGAATTTTTATTTGTTCTCTCTCTGCCTCCACCCTCCGGAACTCCATCCCATGGTCCTTCCGCCTCGCCCCCTCCCTCGCCGCCTTCAAGATCCGTCTCAAGACCCTCCTTTTCTACCGTGTCATCGGTCATCTTTCTATCCCTATTCTCCCTGCCCACCACCCCTCCTGATCCCAACCACCAGCTTGGGTGCAGATCCCTGACTGTCCAGCGCCTTGGGACGTTCTCCTGACATGAAAGGCGCTACACAAATGTAATCTGTTGTTGTCATTATGTGCATGGATAAACTAATTGGTTTGAGTGAAGGTTCAAGCCTAGGCAGTTTACTATGAATATACTTGTTTGATTTATAAGCAGCAGTGATTTATTTTCCCTTGATTTACAGGCCCTGAGCAACCAGCAGAAGGCCGTGCTGATGAGTGAAAGAGCACTAGGTGTTGATCACCCTAACACGATCCAGGAGTATGTAAGTACTGATAGTTTAGAAATTGAAGGGAAATGTTTAAATGCAATATTCGCTGCTATCTATACTGTGGGACAAGTGAAACCCTTTTATTAATCCAGTAGCTGAGACTTGGCAAAGAATCAATACTTTAAACTGGCGCATTCACAACATTAATTGCATGATGTATTGATTATTTGGTTGAAATAGTCACAATGGTCAGGATGCAGAATTGTAGACAAGAGACTGATGACATTGTAGATCAGTGGCAATCCTTATCAACTCGGGCTTTAGCCGGTTAAAATCCATAATGCTACATTTTTTATGTTCGCTAGCAGTAAAGGAATATTTCCTGGCAGTAAAGCATTGTTTGCACATCTAACCATCAATCAGCCATGTTAGTCTGTGCCTGTTACACTGTCAGTTTTGCTGTAAACTGACCCTTGTAGATTGCTGCCTGGCAAGCTTTTCCCCTGTTTGTCCAGCTAGGGCTTTGGCTTGCAGGGTTAACGGGAGCTGAGTGGGGGATGATTCCCTGCCTCCAGTGACTGGTCTGGCCTTTTATGTCCTGCCGATGAGCCAGTCTGCCTGGTTGATGTTTATGCAAACTTTCCAGTAATATTCATTTGTTTCGTACCACACTTCCTCGACTGTAAGTAAAACCAGTTCTGGTGTGATCCTTATTGTGAGCGCATGTGGGGAATTGGAAATGTGGACAAGATCATTTCTCACTGCTGATGTTCTTCCAACCCATTCGGATAGGTTTGAAATGTTTTCTTCATTTATGTAACAAGGTTTCGCTGTCTCTTACAAAGGAGAAAGTTTTTACAAATTAACTCCTCAAACAATACAGTGTAACTGCTTTTACCCGGTTGTTGGACACGGGGAAAATATCCAGCCCCCGACGTCAGTGAAGGTGCTAAACAGTCAGGGTGCTAAGCCAGTGCCTTTCTAGTGACAGTCAAACCATGCCACCATAAAATGCGAAAGTCTGTTACCACCCCACCACCCCACCTCTCCACCATAAATGAGGCAGTGCTGTATAGCAGAGTGCTAGCCCTATAGTAGATTGATTATTCCATGTCCCAATTGCAAAGCTGCTGAGTGCAACCATTTGGCCATGTAGCAGGTGGGTTTTCTAGGAGGCTGTTTGTAACTACCTGACTTGAAGTTGGATTGTATTATGTCGACTATTATGTAAAATGCCTGCTGTTCCGCTATTCTATGTCATGTCGAAATGCATTATATGTAACTTGCAGGACACAGATGCATTAATTCTGGAACACAGTACAATGGTGTTTAAGCTTAAGAAGCTCTATGTCCTTTTTTTTAAACAGATGCACCTTGCCCTGTACTGCTTTGCAAACGGTCAGCTGTCAACAGCCTTAAAATTACTGTATCGAGCTCGCTACCTCCTGCTGTTAGCTTTCGGAGAGGATCATCCAGAGATGGCACTGTTGGATGTGAGTATCTACAACAACAACAACAACAACAACAAGCACCTACAACAACAACTTGTACCTATATAGCGCCCTTCACGCGGGGTAGAGATCTGGGGTGCTTTTTCTGCACAATCTGGAAGAAACCACAGCCAAATCCCATTGACTTGACTTTTCCTGGGACTTGTGGGAACTTATCCCAATGTGAGCTGACACCTTCAGGAAAGGGTAGAAGGAAAACCATATCACCATTCTCTGGTTGTGTTCTTATCTGTTTTACTGACAGCATTATTATCCTAAAGTGATTATGCAATGCAGTACCACACAAAATTACATTTGTATAGCGCCTTTCACGTCAGGAGGATGTCCCAAGCCGCTGGACAGTCAGGGATCAGAGAGGGTGGAGGGAAGAGACGGGAGGAGAGTGACCGAAGGCTCAGTCGAAGAGGAGGGTTTTGAGACGCGCCTTGAAGGAGGCGAGAGAGGGAGCGAGGCCAAGGGAATGTGGGATGGAGTTTCAAAAGGTGAAACTTTGGGGTCAAAAAGGCTGAAGGCTCGACCACCAATGGTGGGGCGGGATGGGGGACGTGGAGCAGGCCACAGCCTGCTGAGCAGAGGGAACGGACAGGTTGATATACTCATGGTTCATCGATATGTTTAATAAACACCTCTCTTTGGACACCAACCCCATTTTCCACTTTCTGGTATGATATATATATATATATATATATAGTGTCTCTGGGCAGCATATCTTTCTCATTAAGGCTGTGCATTGCTGTCAGGATATTGGTCAGCAATGTAAAATGACTGGATGTTTTGCAATTCAATCCTACCACAGAGTTATAGGGTTAAAAAAACTCAAGGCTTGCATCTTTTGAGGTAATTATCTTTCCGAACTCCCAACCCTCTTCAGCTCCCCAAACCTCTGGAACTCCCTACCTCAATCCCTCTACCTTGCCCCATTTTTGCATGTCTTGAATTCGCACCTGAAGTCTTTCCTCTTTATTGCATTTACGGCCACCTCCCCTTTCTCCCTGGCTCGGAGTCAAACTTAGCCAGCGCTCTGAGATGCTCCCCTGCGTGAACGGCGCTATATAAATGCAACTTGTCCTTATTCATGGTATATATAAATGTAGTTGTACCTATTCCATTGTAAGCGGAATACTCAGGTTGTGCTTATGCTTTGGTTCAGAGTAACATTGGGCTCGTATTACATGGAGTCATGGAGTACGACCTTGCCTTGAGGTTCCTGGAGATTGCTTTGGCGATCAATGCAAAATATCACGGAGCTAAATCACTGAAGGTTGCCCTCAGGTAAGAAGCGGTGCTTAATAAAAACTAACAGCAGATTATTGTCTTTTTTTAAAAAAAACCACTTTCATATATCTCTTTAATCTGTATATTATGATTTTCTTTTAAATTTCTTCCCAGCCATCACCTGGTCGCTCGTGTCTATGAAAGCAAAGCGGAGTTCCGATCAGCCCTGCAGCACGAAAAAGACGGCTACACTATCTACAAAAACCAGGTCTGTCTCGCACGTTCAATGTGAGTTCCCAGTATCTCATTTGCACCTTGCTACACCAGCTCCGTCAGTGTTAATTACACCATCTGTATACAGTCTCGCATCATGTTGTATTTCAAATTAGTTCACAGTGCTCCTTGAAGCTGGCTTGTTTTTTCTGAGGGAAGGGAAGGTGGGTGTGGGTGGGGGAGAAAGAGTTGGGAGGCAGGTGAACTCTTTTTAAACATAAGGTCCATCTGGTTAGGTTCCCCTTTTTTTTCTGCTACAACGAAGAGTCTCTGAGACATTATCCTACATGACGTGTGCTCTATCAATACAAATTCGACCACAAATACACAGTCAATCCACTTAATAGTAAATCCTGTGAAGCGCTTTGGGATGTCCTCGCGATATGAAATAATAATGATACTTGCTTTTGATGTAGCACCTTATCATGTCATTGAGACGTCTCAAAGCCCTTCACAGAATATATTGTAAAGTGAATTGACTGTGTATTTTGTGGGCGAAACGCAGCAGCCAATTATCCACAAACAGTCGTGGATTTTTTGTTGAGGGATTATTACCCCCGGCAAATGATCTGCCAATCGACTAAAAACTGGATTCCTACTTACTGTTAGGAGTGTGGAGTAAAGAAACTTGCCTAAGGTTTCGCCCGGCCTGGGAATCAAACCCGGCTCCTCTAGCTTGTGAGGTGAGCGTGCTAACCACTACACTATGGGACTCCACAAAAAGGCACAATATCAAATGCAAGGATTATTAAATTGCTGCATTCATTTCTGTTAAACTTCTGTCAGTGCTGCTCTCCCAATTATTCATTAGGAAACAACACAGTTTGTATGCGTGTGTGTCTGCGTGTGTGTGTCTTTTTCTATTATTACCCGTTTGAAGAACGGTGCTTGAGTGAGTTACTGGTTACTGGAAGACTGTTGAAGGGTGGGTGAGGGGGGAGTGGGGGAGGGCAGGTAACTGTATTTCAACATGAATGATTCTTCAGGAAAGAAAGGGGGGAAAATAGAAATGATTTCAAATCTGCAAAACCTTTCATTCAGAGCAGTCTCTGGGGAGTTTATTTAAAATAAATAAGACCCTTGAACAAGTATTTCAGCAGCACATTTAACAAGGCATAAATTTATACTTACATAGTTGATCTGTGTTTCACGTGGAATATTGTCATGTGAAGTGTTTGAGATCTCCTCTTGACGTGAAAGGCACTATTTCACATGTAAGGATTATCATAATGTTTCTTTCAAATGTCTCGGAAGGGTCTGTATTCTCTACGCGGCGACTAAAAATGGTTCGCGTCCATTGCTTTAATCACATGTACAACTCTGGTGATGTGGAAACTGAGAGATGCAATTATTTCATCCACCTTTGCACCAGTTCAGTTATTTCTCGCATGATGTTGAGAGGGAACCCAGGGAGAATGCTAATTCAGTTTGTTCCAAATGCAGTCTGCTGTGGATTTTGCATTTAAATGTGTTCTTATAGCAGGGTGTGGGTGGGGTGGGTGGGGGGTGGGATACAGCAAGTGGCTGATCTGCATTATCAGTGACGGCATCATGTTCAACTATCAAAATGTCTTCCGACTGTTCATCAGTGTTTCCGATATGTGCTTATTAGATCTAATGGTGGATTCCATCTGGTCTCTCCTTTTCCCTGATCATTCCAACCCAGTAGTTCTCAAACCGAGACTCCCTGCCCTCTCATCATATCCTATCCCTCAATACCTTCTTCATCCAGGAACACCACTAGTGGTCTTTCACTGAAGAAGCAGACAGCAAAAGGGCAGCGGTTTGCAACAGGGGGGAGGGGGTGGGTTCACTAAAGTGTCTCAGAGATACTAACGGAGAGTCCTGGCATTAAAATGCTGTGATGTTCCCCGGCCCCCCACTTACTTGTCTCGGGTGGGGGGGGCGAGGTGGGCTCACCAGGCAGCCACGATATCCTATGGATTTGTGTTATCGGCAAGATTCCTCTTTTGCGAACGCCATTGAGAATTGGGTTATGTTTTATCCCCTCTGGCTGCTCTCTGGGAACATTTCACACCTCCTCTGTGTAAATGAAAAGATCAGCCTTCCTACCTCTTAATATTTAACTCCTGTTCCTTCACCAAATCAACTGTCATCTTATAATTTGGCAGAGAATATGGATTGGTTTCTACTTTTTTTTAAAAAATACACTCCACACGTGCACACTTTATTCAGCCCCTGAACCCACACCACATTATTCTGAGGAGCTACTGTGCTTTATTTTTATTTATAAAAGATATCTTTTACACAACAACAAATTACAGGAGGACGTCACAAGACACTGGAACCTGTGTGCAACTGTGCAATCTGGATGACATTACTACAGGCCAATCTATTGAAGTCTGAACTCTTCTCTTTACAGCTGGGTGAGAACCATGAAAAGACCAAAGAAAGTTCGGAGTATTTGAAGTACCTAACGCAGCAGGCTGTTGCCCTCCAACGCACCATGAATGAGATATACAAGAATGGATCCAATGCCAGTATTGTCCCACTCAAGGTAAGTCAGTCACCATTAATATAATAAATAAAAACACAAGTCATTGGGATGAATTAAGGTTTCAGGTAAATGACCTTTTGTCACGAGTTCTGACGATAGGTCACAGTCCTGAAAAGTTGACTCATTTTCCTTTCTCCATAGATGCTGTCTGACCTGCTGTGTGTACCCAGTGACTTCTGTTTTTATTTCAGGTTTACAGCGTCTGCAGAGCTTTGCTTTTTGTTTACCATCAGTATAATGTCCTCTTCATCAACCTCCCATGGTTCTCTCTGCTTCATTACAAGTGATCTGCATATGTTCTTTTTCTCTCGCATATTTTTATTATATACTGTATATAACAACACATTTATAAGGTACATCCTTTTAATACTAGTTTACTGATAATGCAGAGGATTGCTGCAAAGTGTAATGACTGTGTATTTTGTAGAAAAAATGGACCCCAGTTGCTGATTTATTACAGAGCGCTATCAGAGACTTGGGAAAGGTTTAATTACCTGACCATCCACATTTTCTTTGTCTGTCTCTCTCTCTCTCTCTCTCTGCCTCTCTTGACGTGAGAGTTGAGTGGGGGGGGGGGTTCTGTTCCTGATTGCTATCCTGGGACAATTGCTGGACAGTGATGGTGTGCTGGATGAGGGCATCCTGGTGATGTAGTCTGCTGTTAGGACTTGCTGCCAACAATTGTATGTGAAAACTGGCCACTTGTTTAAGGAATCCGGGGTCTGCTTGTCAATACACACGAAACCCAAACCAGTGGAGGGAGAAAGAAAGACACACAAATGCCTTCAAGCTGAGAAGTGGAGAAAATTGACAAGCAGGGGAAACTTAACAATTATCTTTACATTTACTATATCGCCCCAACGCACTTCACAGGACACACTGTAAAGTGCGGTTGCTGCGGTGTTTTGTGGGCGAACGCACTGTGTTTTAATTAGATGTATTTGATTCACGAATCCAGCTCTTTGGGGGGTACAGAAACGTGAGTTGTGGGAACTCTTCTCTCTTGCTCGATGGGCTCTTGATGCACTTGTTAGTTTTCCAGTGTGTATCTTGTGGATCAGCAACGAGGAACGTCCAGGTCATTCTAAATAAAGCGAGGGAATAAAAATGCCCTCAAATGCGTTCCGTACCACTAACCACTCTTTCCTCTGCTAAAATCGGATTTCATAAAACCCGCCTTTTTTGGTCTCAAAAGTATATAACATCAAGAGAAGGTACCTAAGTTCAGATAATTGTTAGGAAGCCAGTTAAGGCTTTGTTCTCATGGTTTATCCTGACATTTTAATCCCTAGATGAGATTACTGCTTTGTGGGTCATATACTGGAGCTTTGTGTCTCTGACTGACAAGAGAGACAGACACTTTTGAAACAGAAAAGCATGAAATTCTGTGGCATATTATAGATCTTGTCTGGAAAATGTTGCTATAAATTCATTTGGAAACACCCTTGGGGTTGTTGGCCAGTCTCCTGTGTCATCAGGTTTGTTATTTTCCAAATATTATAAAGGGAGATTGTTTATTGATTTACATCTAAACCATCTCCCTTTTCTTCCCCCCCCCACCCCGAGTTGTTTGCCAGGCGTTCTTTCGCTGTGAAGACCTGACTAATTGGGTGCCTTTGACTCCACATACTTTTTAATCTTTGACATTTTTGCAAGGAATTTCCCCCTCCACCCCCACCCAAAAAAAAATTCTGATAGGGGTTGGACATCTCAGAAAAGACAGCTCAGATACAAAAGGTCATTTTAAAAAGATCTTAATCCTAATATAAAAAAAGATGACCTTTATTTTTTTTCCCCCCCTCAAGTCTTTCCTCTCTTTACACATCCCGCATTTGACCACTACCTTTTGACATCCCCCCCCCCCCCCACACTATCTGCTAAGACATTTATATGGTGGAAAAACAGCACAATCTCTGCTCCTGTGTGCTGTGCTCTTTCTCTCTTTGGCCTGTGCTGTGCTTGTTGAGCATAAAGAGATTAGCAATTTGCTCTGTGTGTGTGTGTGTTGTGGGGGGTGGGGGTTAAATGTGATCGGCAGATATGTGGCTCTTCATTGTGTACACTGAACAGTGATTGAATCTCGAGTAATGTGCAGTATTGGTGGGTGTGTGTGTGCGTGTGTGAGATTTTGATGCAATTGTACAGACTGAGCTCTGAGCTAATCACAACTTTATACGATTGTTTTACATAAACTGTGACCTCGCTGAAGTAATGAATTATTTTGCTTGGGAGAACATTTAATCGTCTTGTATTTATTTTCTGGCCACAGTTCACGGCTCCCACCATGGCTAGTGTGCTGGAGCAGCTCAACATCATCAATGGAATTCTCTTCATTCCTCTCAGGTAAGAAAGGGATTTTAACCCACGTATTTGCCACTTCTCTTTCCCAGGGCCACTCACTTCATCGACTGTTTTATTTCCCACTCTTTACAATGTATTTGCACAAGGCTTAGAGGTTCTGCATCAGTGAAAATGCAGTGGTCTGAACTGGGTTACCAGTCATACAAAATTACATCTGTATAGCGTCTTTCACATCTGGAGGATGTCCCAAGGTGTTGGACAGTCAGGGATTTGGATCCGGGGGGAGGTGGGGGGGCTGGGATCAGGGAGGGCGGAAGGTAGGGTAGCCTGGAAGATATTTAGAAGGTGAGCTGAGCAACTCTGATGAGCGAGTGTACTTTCCCACGATGACTGAACTGATTGATGGACTGATTTTTTTTGCAAGCGACCTTGGTCGGTAAACCAGGAACAAAGAAACATAATAGAAATCAGCAAAACACGAAACATTACCATCTAAAGATGCCATTCGGTTCACTCGAATTAACGGCGGGAATAGATTCTAAAAATGTATTAGCTGAAGCCGAGTGGATTACTCACCAGTAATTTGTATGGTCGCCATCAAGTTTAAAGTGGTGGGTTTATGACCTGACTGCGCCTTTCATTACAGCATTTGATGTTACTTCATGTCTCTCACTCGTCTCCCAGAAGGATTAGAGACTGTTCACCAGAAGAACGTTTGCCTCTAGCTTTGGGTAGAATGGAAACCTTGCAATGTTTCTAAAATGGGAACACAAAACGCTGGATAGAATGGCCATTGATATTAACAAGACATTTGGAAATGTCTGAGTCTCGCCCATCTGCTTCGGCTGGTTCCTGGTCATATTTTGCACTGTAAAGTCACTTTATTTGAGGGGCGGAGTGGTCCTAGGCTTCAAAGCACAGGAACGGACTAGTAGTAGTACTTGCTCCTCCCTTTTCTTTCTCCTTTTCGAGGTTTAGACTGCACGAGTTTTCTTATTTTTGGTCCCTTACTCCATCGCAAGTGAGGAACTTGCCATGTTTGCCCAAAATATATACACTGTTTTGTCCCACTGTTCCACTTTTTTGCATGGCATCCTGTGAAGGCACTTTGAGAAGTCTCGATGACGTGATAAGGTGTTATATCAAATACAAGCATCATTATTATCAATAAGACAGTACTGGAAAGTTTCAGTGATGCAGAAGAGAGGGCGGTGGCCTGAGATGGGACTAAGACCTATCTTACACCAAGGGAGCCTTTCATTTATTGATCAAATGCAATGCTTGGAAATGTATTCTGTCCTTCTCGCACATCCAAGGATCAATTGAAAATGTTTAAATCATTGCGTCGCTCTTTATCTGGACAAAGTCTGGACTGTGCTGACCTATTAAGGATTTAACCTCTCCTCTTGCCCCTCGGGAGATTTATTTTTGACTCGGTACCTATTTTATGTATCTTGAAAGGATGAAAGACTGAGTGGGACCATTGGGAATTCAAACTCAGAACCTTTTAGTCCAAGGTCCTGCATTTAACCAACCCCACTGAATGCTTTCAACTGTAATACAAACAGAATATGCTGGATGAGTGAGGTACATTGATCAGTGTCTGAAAGAGAATGTTCCAAACGTATGACCCCAATTCTAATCAAGGCTGACACACGGAAGATTGATGTCGCTTATTGCGTTCGGGATCCCCTGATTGAACCCCTCTGCATCCTCAGCCTTCTTTCTGACAAGAATTTTGATTCCTAACTTTCTGGATTTTTCTTTCTATTCAAAAAATAAGAATTAAGCGTCCTTGCATTTGACGTACTGAGCCGTCCTCCTGACGTGAAAGGAGCTGAACCAATTGTAAGGATTATTATAGCATTTGGGAGGATGCGTGAAAGCGTTTCACAGTATTTTACTGTGAAGTGTAGTCCATGTGTACTTTGTAGACAAACGCAGTAGCCAATTTGCACACCTCAATTGTCTACAACAGCCATGGAGTGAGTGATCAATATCAGCTGGGGGATTGTCGGCCAGGACACTTCCTTTGCTTTTTGAATCCACCTGAACAAATAGACGGGACCTCACTTTAACACCTCCGACAAGGCAGTGTTTTTATCCCCCAGCCCTGTACTGGAGTGTCAACTTAAGATGAGTTCAAAATCAGTAATAGTGATACTACTACTATTAATAATCCTTGCATTTGACATAGCACCTAATCAAATCTTCGAGACGTCTCATAGCACTTCACAGAATATATTGTAAAATCAATTGACTGTATATTTTGTGAGCAAAAACTAACTGAGCCAGGCACACGTCTCACTATCACAAACTCTTTTCGTTTTTCATTTTAACAGTCAGAAAGATCTGGAGAATCTGAAAGCTGAGGTTCAGCGTCGTCAGCAGTTGCAGGAAGCAGGAAAGAGTGGGGGAGCCGAGGAAACGACAGAGGAGAATGTGTTGGAAACCGAGCCCGCAGAGAAAATTCAACCCATTGCCGAGTCAGTCACAGAACAGGCTTCAGGATAAAGGCTTGTCATCTCTGTCCCTTCCAGAACCTGCTTACACCTCAACTTGTGTTGCAGACTTTCTGGAAGGCTAGTTATATGCATATCCATCCCCATCCCACACACACACACACACCCACATGCACACAACCACACTATACAAATCTATAAGGTCATACAGACACACACACCCCTCACACGCACACAATGCACATTTCTTTACACCCTCTCCAAACACACTACATACATACCACCTACTACATACACCCCACACACACACACTAATGCACACAAAATGCACTGGCACAAAGTGTTACATCCAGCAAAGAGGGAGCCAATATTCTGCTGAAAGTGGATCTGAACAATATCAAAGCCTTAGCAGTGGCATCAACTGCAAATTGTTTAAAACAAAAATCAGAAATATGTGAAAGGAGCCATCCATTCGTTGTAAAGTTATACAGCAGCTTAGCTTGTACAGTCAAAATGATCAACCGCTTGTAAAGTAACTAATAACAGTCTAATGAAACTGTACATATAACAGAAATTCCAAATGAATGAATCTTGAAATACTTAAAAGAAAAAAAACTCTCAGGTCATTGTATGTTGTATAAGGGCATCAACCCAGAACACATTTAGACTTCAGTGATATTCAGATCCAACCACCTTGTATTATTTTTGGTTCAATTTTGAGACCCGGGTCTTACATCTACTAATCGCCCTGTGAACAACATATGGAGTGAAACTAGCCATAGTCCAGGTCATGATTGGGGTGGGGAAGCTTGCACTCGAAATCAAAATCCCATCTCTCCCTCTCAAACTTTCAATGCTGATTTCTAGTTCAATCCCACTTTATATCAAATTACTATTTCCCCCCCCACCCCCAAAAAAACCTGCCAGAAATATGTAGAATTTGCCTTTATGGCATTGAGGACTGTTGGGGGGCGAGGGATTTGTGTGTCTGTTTCTGTCGCTGTTAATCCACTTCCAAAATCCTGGGAATATTCCCACTTGGGCTTGGATCTGTCTTTAATGCCAGAGGTGACTAGTTAAAACGATGTATGTTCTTCTTTTGTTGTTTGTTTCTTTGTTAGTGCTGTAACGCTGTTTCGGAGCTTTGATTGATGGTGGGAAATCCAGTGCGTTTAAAATCCTTAGCGTCGCAGAAGCCACTTGTAATCAGAAGTCTTGGCTTCGCGCTAACTGCAAGCTCCAACTCGCCAACCCTTCCCGTGGTGGACCGTGACCAAGGGGAGACTTAACACCGTCTTTTTTTTTTACCCATTTTAAAAAAAGAAGAAAAAAAACTGTAAAGCTGTATGTATGTCGTGGTACTGACAAGATAAACTAGATAAATTTATCAAAAAAGATATGAGTGCTCTAAGGTATATTCTCAAATCGTATAATCATATATCGTGTGATGGTACTGAAGCCATGACACTCTCTTCCTTCCATTAAGGATGTGTAGTAAATGTTGGAGAGTAAAAAAAATTGCTTTTTTTTTTCCCTCTTTTTATCAAGTATTCACAGTGATTGTTGTTTAATAAGTGGGTTTGTTGTTTCCAGAGCTGTAAGTCTGTCTGATGAACACAAGGTCCTACTATTTGCTGTACGGTCTCCTATAAATGTTACTACGTTAATACCTTTGAGATTTTTTTTTCCATCATACTTTTTTTTGTGTTATCTGTAAGGTGTGGGGAGGTGCGGTGGGAGGAGGGAGGAGGAGGGAGGTGGCAACAAAAAAAAACAACAGAAAGCGGTGTCTTCAATACAAAATGCCTTGTTAAATTATTTGAATTTTACAAGCAAGTGTTCAATAAAAGCTGGTCGAGAACACAGTTCTTTTGTACCTTCGAGGACATTTTTCCACAGTTGATTCCATTGCTGTCAGCAATGAAGATGGTTTTAAAAACAAAATTAGGCCTCGACGCTCTCACCCACGCTAACGTATTTTAATTTTTTAAAAAGAGAAAATAACTAAAGACTATTTTTTAAACGGATGCATTGTGGTACTCGGTCGATTTGTAGCAAAAGTTTTAAAAAAAAACTGACAGCCTAAATTTGAATGCTTTGTTAATTTTTTTTTGAACTCTTTTTTTGGTTTATTTGAAAGAAATAAAGAATATATGATAATGAAAATCGATGTAAAACAATAGTCCTGTGCTGTACTTTAAAAGTGATTTCTTGATTTCTGCCGACACAGTTGGGAGTGCTTAAGTCACAGTGAAATTAGCTTTCACTTTGACACTGGGGGGAAGAGGAGGGTATCTCTATACCAAATGGCTTAATGGTTTTCCAAAACCAAAACTTCTCTGTGAACTGGTCAACACAAAGGTCCTGAAGCTGACTTTCAACAGCAGCAACTTGCATGTACACAGCGCCCTTCACACAGGGTAACGTCCCAGAGCGCTTGACAGTGGCGGAGCAGGATGCCAAGCGGGTGGGGGGTGGGGGGGTGGAGGGGAAGGTGACTGTAGGCGTGGTCGAATAGGAAGGTCTTCAGGCACGACCTGAAGATGAGGAATGAAGAGGGATAGAGGGTGTTCCTGAACTTCGGGGCGTAGTAGTTGAGAGCGTAGCCATCAATGGTGGAACGGAGGGCACGAGGGACATGCAGAAGGCCGGAACCAGTAAAGCGGAGGCACTTTCTCTTCATTCACCCATTTAGACAATACAAATTTCCGTATATGCAGCACCTTTCATATCAGGAGGCTTTCCCAAGGCGCGTAACAAGTCTGGCTGCGCACCCAAGCTGGGGGAGTGATGGGGAGGGGAAAGGTGACCGAAAGCGCGGTCAAAAAAGGTAGTTCTTGAGATGGACCTTGAAAGAGGTGAGGGAAGGAGCTAGTGAGTCGGAGCCTCTGGACTGAAGGGCCCAGAGAGTGGAGGGTGGAAGGACAGATCATGAGCATCTGCTCTGCAAAGTGCCATGTGCAACCATGGCTCCTGCTGTCTGTCTAATAGCAAACAAGGTACTGCGGTGGGGGGTGTGGGGGGAGGATAAACAAGCCCTACACACCCTCGCCCCTCCCTACCTCTGTGATTTTCTGTAGCCTCACCCTCCTGCCGCCTCCTCCGTTTGGCAAACCCTTTCTCTCTATATCTTGTTTCTAAGAGCAGAAAACCTACAGAGACGTGGAGTCATTTCCCTCCCCACCCTGGCCAGCTCAGTGTGCTGCACTGTCTGGACTTTGCCCTCGAGCAAAAGACTTTGCCCTCAGACAAAACGAAATAGAAATCAACAACTTGCATTTACATAACGCAACTCAAGCTGGGAAGCGTCTCAAATTGGATCGACAGGGGCAGAGCACAACACTGGGGGGTGGGGGGGGGGTGACCGTAAGAACAGTCAAACAGCAAAGTCTTCAGACACGACCTGAAGTTGGGGAATGAGGGGGCAAGGCGGAGGGATAGAGGAAGAGTGTTCCAGAAACAGAATTGTCTCATCCTGAACTGAGACTTGGAAACTACCCACATGTGAGACTCCTGTCACTAATACACCAAGATTTTGTTTCAAAATAGAAAGTAACGATGAACCCAACCGGACGAACTTTCGCTAATAGAACCTACGCGCCATTGGCTTTTTTTGAAAAAAAAATAGAACTGGGCATTGCGACTGATAGATTTGCTCTCCATTTAGCAATACAGTGAGTCCAAAGCCAACAACTGAATCCTGCCAAAGACTGGGTTAATGTTCAAAAGACCCCACACTGTTGCCAACCTCAGGCCTTGTAAACTATTCGGGTTACGTTACAGGTTATCCACTCGGCCTGTTAAGTTAAGCCAGAGTTGTGCAAGGCGGCATGAAAAAAAATAAAAAATTGCAGTACAAAGTGCCATTTTTGTTACTGCGAACCTCTTTTCCCTTCTCTCTCCGGGGTTTGGGAGGGGGGAAAAGAGAGAATTACTAACTTGTTGTGGTGCAATACCACCTGTAACAAGGTGATGGCGATCCACTGTCCAAAAAAAAAATCCCCTCAACTCGGAGCACTTTGCTGTAAGCCATTTATTTCCCCCACATGAAACTGTCAGCGAAAGGCAAACAGAGAAGTTGTGCAGGTTTCTGCATTCGCTCCCTGTCCTGAATTTAAAGAGTAACCTCTGCCTGTCTTGTAATTTTATATTTAAAAAAAATCAAAAGTTATTCCTTTCAGTGAGAATGCAAAGACGAGTGCTGGGTGTATCTCTCTCTCACGTTCTCTTCTTCTGTTGCTCTCTCTCTCCCCTCTCTCACTTTCTCTCCTCTCTCTCTCTCTGTCTGTCGTTTGCACTAATGAGCGAGAGCAGGTGCGGGAGAGGGGAGAGACACAGCTCACAAGCTGCCAGTCATTAGGACTCTTATCACCCACCACAGACCCCCCAGAGGTTTGGGCAGCTCCACACACCAGCTCGCCAATATACTTGTCTCCCCCCCCCCCCCCACCCCTCACCCCACTACACACACAAAAAAAACTTACTATTAACACTTGGTAAGTTCTATACAATGCACTGAATGCCCATTTACTCTCTTCTCTTGATAATTCCATTTCACGTCAGCAGGACCTCGCAAAAGGTTTTTGCTGTGAAGTGTAGTGTAGTGACTGTGCATTTTGCTGGCGAATGCGGCAGCCAGCTAACACACAGCATGATACCCCTGCCGTCTATTAATAAGCGGGGGAAGCAGTTTGATATAAATCAAGAGGTTTCAAGGCTGATGCAATTAGAGAATGTGGGAATGACGGCAGAAATGAGCTTTCTTGTTTATCAGAATACTGCATTTGATACACGTCGGGAGTTCGTTTCAAAGCGCATCACAGGGTTTAATGTAAAGCGTAGTGACTGTGTATTTTGTAGGTGAATGCGGCAGCCAATTTGCGCACAGCCAGTAATCCAAAAAAAAAGGCCAAGAAACGAATGACTAATTTTGTTGTGGGGATTGTCAGCCAGATCACTGGGAGAAAATCCCTTCTTTTCGAGTGGCACCACAGGATCTTTAATGTCCACCTGAACAGGCACAGACGGGGCCTCGGTTTAACGCCTACCGAAGGAAGTAGCTTCAGAGCGGCACGAGGGTAGGTGTGGGAGATGACAGCACTTTCTCGAAACGTGGCAGCCAATTGCGCAAGGCGGTGTCCCACAAACACAGTCGTGGATTGAGTGACCAAATTATTATTTAAAAGAGAATTTAAAAAAAAATTTAAAACGGTTATTACTCCCGGAGAAGCGATCCTCCAATGTAAACTGCATTGTACTATAATGGGCAGCATAACACTGAGCTGCTGAGGCTCATTCTCTTAAGAATAGAATTCAAAATCGTGGGTGAAAAAATATAACTTTTCTGCCTTCCGCTCTTTGCAAATAAATACGTCTCCTGTGATCCAACTGACCCTTTGTGCTCGTAAAGTATCGCGCCCACTAATAACGTGCTGCGCTTTGGCAGCTATGGGATATCCCACTGGGTGACTGGTGTGTTTGTTCCAATTATTCTTTCATTCATGAGGAAACGCTTCAGAACTCGCTCATACCCAAGGCACTTGGTGAGCTAATGGTCTTTAGAGCTTATACAATAGGAACATACCAACCAACACCCGCTAAAGCCAGTCGATATTGTTCACGATTTTCTAACCTCCTCCTTGCCTTACCCCCTCAAGGAATCTGCCCTACACATGCAATTACATTGTGGTTAAGAGGATGGTCGAGGGAGTCATCAGTCTCCACTTACTGACTCAGGACAGGCTTGGTTCATATAGCAAGACGCTCAATGAGAAAATTCCCCCCCACCGAGAAAAGACTCACCTGAGAAGCAGTAAAATTCTCATTTACTTTAAGGGCTCGGCTGCAACGTAAACCTTTTTAAACCACAAACCCATCCATCATCGGCATTGCCCTCTGTTGCTCCGTCATCGCTCATTGCATTTTGTCGAAACTATTCGTCAGTAATCGAATTCCGACAATACTAATGCCAAAAAGACACACTGCTTCCTATTGCAACATTTATAAAGTGCGAGTTAATTCCATTTTGCCGATGTAATATTTAATGGCAGGGACTGGTGTCAGCCACTCCAACCAGAAGTCCCATGAGTTTTAGGTCTCAGAGCTGCCCGCCTGTCATATATACATGTCTCAGCTGGAGGAGTCCTGGCCATTTTAACCAAAGCTCATTACATGAATCCCATGTTAAATAAAAAGTGTTTCATCTTGGGAAAAGGAGGGAGGGAGAGAGCAAAAGCTCATAAGATTTGGCTTGTAATTTTTTGACTTGCGCATCCCATCAGATTACCATGGAATGACTTTGATGCCTGACATGGAACTTGATAGCTCAAGAGGATAGGCGCGTGTGAGGAAGAACATTATTACAGTAACAAAAAAAAACATGTCCCCTCACAAGCTTCCTCTGACAGATAATCTTCATACACGTTCCAAGAGGGAAATACATTTGCACACACGGCTCCCTCCAAAAATTCGGACTGAGTGGTCAGAGTTTAATTCGGCGCACATATAAGATTTCAAGCTTCAGTTTGAAGATAATGCCACTGAATAATAATACAAATGGTACAATACATAATAATATTAATGATAGTGATGGGGGGGTGTGGGGACTGTAATACACACTCACATTTCTTGGCGCTGAATGTTGATTATCACTCGATGGTAAACTTTGCGGGTTCATCCACACAATGCAATCTTTTGAGTGCGAGGCTTGACGACAGCAGTCACTGTTAAACGTCTGCCATGTCAGCTGCTCTCCGCAAATAATGCACCTATACCTAACAAAACAAACTCCAACATATCGTGTGAAAAATACCATCTCCCTCGAGCGATACGAAGACTGCTTTAATCTCCCAGTTCAGGCAATAGTTATGAATATGCACCCTTCCTCCCCTTTCAGGTTTTAGAATGTTAGTCAAACACCTCAACGACTTTGCTGCCCTATAGTCATTCCTGCGTATCCATTATTTATGAAGGCGTCTTTCTCTCTCTCTCTCTCCCCCCCCCACCCGTTATTCTGTTTTGGAACCACAAAATTAATTCGGTTTTGCCACTTCCGACAACTTGCAGAGAACTGTTTCCGTAAAAGAACGGGTTGAAGTGCTTAACGATGGGATCAGAGAGCACTGAGCAAGAGATGCGAGGGAGAAATGAAGAGATTCTCTTGTCTCCTCACGTCAAC